CATGCTGCAGGAGGCAAACATAACAAAGGCCTCGACAAAACTCCATCAGGGAAGTCCTTTTGGGCCCCATTTCCATCAGCTCATAAAAGGAACAGCCTGGACCCACATGCTGGGCTCTGCTAAGGCTGTAGCTCTTCATTTGCAAAAGAAATGACCCATTCATTTCTCTCTGACCTCTGCAGGCACTTCAGACTGCTGACCTCATCTGCCAATGGCCCCCACCACTGCCCCAAGCTTCCTCAAACAGGTGCCTTCCTAGGCAAGCAGCTAACGAAGCTTCAAGAATCCTGTTCCCAGGGGACTGTCTGTGCACAGGTTGGGAATGTTCAGCCCTCAAAGGCTTTATTTCCTATGCAGAAAAGCAGAGGCCATAGGAAAAGGAGGTACAGATGAAAGGATGTAAATGTAACTGAGTCAACTAAAGTTAACAAACAGATTTGCTTGTGTGTACGTGTGCTTGGTAACACAGATCTCTTCCCTGCAATTACTGCAACTCTCCAGCTGCACTTGGTGTTAGTGCGTGGTTGTACAAACAGGTCCTCTGGTTCCTGCAGAGGACAGACTGGCATGTGACTGGGATGTTCCCATGCCTCCAGACTCAGTTTTGTGTCCACATGAAAGGCGACAATGGAACTTCAGCAGGGGAATCTGTGTGCTTGCACTACATTCCAGGAAAAAGACATGCTCATCACCCATTTACCTTGGCATTCCCAGCCTTATTACCAAGAGTACTACAATCCATATTGACTTTTGTTCTTAACAGCCCCATTCTTGAGAGATTATCCCATTTCACTGCTAAAGTCACACAGGCCTTCAGCGGCTGGACTGGGAATTCAGTGCTGGTTTTAAGTCCAAGTTCAGAGCCCTGCACACTGGACTAATCTCTAGACAATAACATTTTTCTACTTGGCAAAGAGGTGCGAGCTTTCAGGTCTGCAAGAATGCTGAGGTCATCAGATGAAACCACAGATACAGCACAAACTAACATTACTTTTATGTCAGTTTTATTGAAAAACTAAGCAAACTAGGTCAGTTTTTTCCACTGGTCTCCAAAGAAGACCCAATTACCAGAATGAACATAATGATGTTTAATATGTAAGCCTGCTTGGAAGCTGAACTGTTTGTTCTGAGTGCCACACAGACACCAGCTCTTGCTACTGGCAGAAGAGGCCTGTGAATCAGAGCCCAAAGTCTGATGCAAGAGAAACTTGGGCGTCTCAAGCTGCTTTCCCCAGCAGAGAACAACCCTATTAGTTTGAGAAAGTCCCCTGCCTGCTTTCTCTCTGAGTAATTAAGAGTGAAATCCTCCTCTCAGTGACCCCAATGCTCTCAGCCTAGGCTGATTTACACATGAAAGGAACCCTCTGAGGGGCTTTCTCCCTTTCACATTCACAACCAGGCAGGACCTATAAATAAAACCGTTCTGAAAACAGGAGCTTTCAAAAAGGTCTGTGTATGTGCACAAATGTGTATGAGAGAAAGGGAATGGATGTGTGCACTTGAGAATGTGTGTGTGTTTGCATGCATATGTGAAGAGCGGCTGAGAAGAATGTGCGCTCAGACACCAGCCTGCATGCAAACAAGTGTACTCAGAGAAGCATCTACACGGATGTGTGAGTGTGCACAGGTAGTGGGAGCACTTACAGGAGCAGGAAGGCATGTCCAGGCAGGTTCCCAGCTCACAGGGTTCCAGGGGACACTGTTCCAACTCTGCTGAGTCACTCTGGAGTTACACATACAAAGACAGAGAGCAGATTTAGACCCAATTGTGCACGTGAGAGTATGTTTGTGATACACTTTCCCTCTCTAAAGCAGTAAAGTACTTGCAGAACAAAACCACTAGTGTTTTCCATTGCTTTGGAGGTAACAGAATCAGGTCTCAGGGCATGTGCTCCTAAGGCTTAGGCAGAAGGTGAGATTTTTTAAAAGCAGCATCTTTTCAGCTGCCCAGGTGAGCAGAATGTGGCATTTCCCAGGGTTGGCATTGGTCAACAGCAGTTTTTAGCTTGCTGGAAAAAAAAACCCTCAAAGTTTGAAAAACAAAACATGGTTGATGCCATGAAAATGATGTCACAAAATCGGAAAGACAATGACTGCCTTTACAGCAGTTTATAAACACAAAAATGCCTCAATGTGAATCAGTTCTCCTCCCCACCCTGCCCTGTTCACCCCTGTGTCTATGCAATCAGGATATTTCCCTTTCCACAAGGCCTAAGAAGGACCCTGCACAGCTTCCAGGAAACTGGCAGTTAGTGTGACCCTGTGCTAATACAAAACAGGTGACAGAGAGCTCTGAGCCAAGCCAGGGCAGACTGCAGGCTTTCATAAAGCAGGTACCACTCTGCCAGCATTTGCCCCTGTAAGAGGAGGCCTTTCAAGACCTGGCTACATCATAATAATTTGAGAAGTGCAAACTGTTTTACTCCACTGCTCCCGACCAGCTGAATCACTTGCTTACTGAACTGTGCCCATGCTAATGCCAGCAGTGGGGAAATACGTGTGCTGGCACCACTGGAGCTGCACTGCTGTCTGGCTGGAGACTCCAGGGTGTGAGGTGGGGAGGCTGCACCCTGTGCCCTCCTGACTCCATCATTGCTAGTCACAGCTCCTAGATCTCTCCCTTATTCAATTCTTATGCAAACATTTAGAAGCAGGCAGTAAAAAGCACAAAGAAGGAGACATAAGGAGTGCAAAGCCTCACAGAAGTGCACAAAGCAGAAAATGTCTCTTCTGCTAATTCAAAACACTCTCCCCAGCTCCTTGCAGCAGGCAGGAGGGTGTGTGAGCAGGGATGCAGAGCTCCCCTCCTACTGATCTCGCAGCTAAAGCCCTCCCCCAGTTCCCAGGGTCTTCAAATGAAGATTTGCATAGTACTTCCAGATCATTCCCGAGAGAAGGGACAATAGCTCTCTCAACGCCCTCTACCCCCCTCCTTCTCTCCCTCCCAAAGCTGATAAAGCCCTGGTGAAAAGGGGAACAAAGGATTTACAGATGTCAGAATATTGATTTCCGCAGTTCCGGGACTACAGGGAGAAGATGAAGAACCCCCCCAGAAACTCTGTGAAGTCTGAGACACAGACACTATCTCTGCAGCACGAACTTCGCCTTTTGAAGACAGTATCTGATGGAGGAAACATTGCTATTCGAGAGGGATGAGCCGATCCCTGAAAACTTGAAAACGCACGGAGATGAGATTACAGCGTGAAAGCACAGAGAGTGCGTTTGTTGTTCCCAAACCGCCGGAACGGAGAGGCGCTTACCATGACAGCAGTTTGCCACCCGGCGGGCCAGCGCGGCATTGCTCTGAGCCCCTCCGGCCCCAGCTGACCGTGTCACCTCTCATCAGAGACTCACGCTGTTACCCGGGCCCTCTGTGCTACCCAGCACTGCAGCGAGGAAAAGGAAGAAAAAGAAAGGTTAAAGATGAATCTCTGGAAAGATACTTTGAATTATAGCGGAACCTCCCTATCTCAAAACTCACTAAATTTAGGGCTGTTAAGCTGAAAGCTGATGTTTCCTGCCTCAGTGTGTGCTTCTGTGCTTAGCACAGATAAACCCAAGCTTTCTTTTGTGCTAGAAACATTCTTTTCTGTCAGTCTAGTGAGTCAGCTCCACCTCCACTGAACACCAGCTCGCTGCAATCGTTCAGATTCTGCTAAACTGAACAGCAAGACAACCCAACATGCTGCATACCCCCAATGGGAGATGTTTACTGGGTAGCCAAGTCAGGCAACAGTTCAGGACTGTACCACTATCATGGAAACAGCTTTCTCTGTTGGCTACCAGCACTGCATATATATATTTATATATATAAATTATATATTTTATATATATATATTATACTATATAATATGCTATTATATAGTATAGATTATATATAATATGCTATTATATTTTTTTTTCCTTTTTCAGAGCTAACTTTGTAGCATTTCTGCACCCAGAAGTCTCCCAGGATGCAGCGTCTTTTAGAAAAACGTACACGTTGAAACCTCTTCAAAATCCTGGATTTAGAAAGGTATTTTTAATGTTAGTCTAGTTTCTAAACCAAGCCGCACGCCCTCACATAGGTCAGCTCTGGAAAAGCTCACATGGAGGAAGTCCTCTGTGCAAGGCAGCGGTGCACACTGCTGGGCTCAATACGGGTTCCATGCCACAGGGCCAGAGTCAGACAGAGCCACTGAGCCAGGGCAGAGCTGAGTGCTCATTCACCACCATTTTCCCTGCCCCTCTGTAAAAACACATGCTGTCGGGATGACTGCAATCATCACAGTGAGAATAACGATGGCGTATTGCACAGTTCAGTGTATTTCATACAACTATACCAAAACATTCCTCACAATAGAAAAACACCTACGTTTCTTCAAATAGCTGCCTGTCCTCCCTCAGCCAGAAGGTATTTTTCACATGGAATCTTTTGTGTCTTCCAGCAGCCACTCCTGATTAACGGTACGTTTCAGACTACATGAATCAGACCCATTAGGCTCCTGAGCTACCTAATAGGTAGATTAATCACAGCTGCCAGGATGACAGAGCCTAAGAAAGCCACATTTTACATCAGTGTAGCCCAGATTGTAATGAAACTGCCACCATGCCCAGGTTCATGGCAGACCTCAGCCCCACATCCAGTTGCTCTCCACAACCCCTTACTGCTCAACGGGTGGAAGAAGTGCTCACAAGGAACTTCTTTTAATTGTAACAGCTCGCTCCAAGCCCGTGTCCAACCTGGCCTTGAACGCTGCCAGGGATGGGGCAGCCACAGCGTCTCTGTGCCAGCGCCTCAGCACCCTCACAGGGAAGAGCTTCGTACTCCCCTCATGGCTGCCCCACTGAGGGACCCCTCACACCTGAACCCTCTCCCTATCCCCTCAGCACCAAAATGGCGCCAACCCCCTCTATACAGGCGCATGCGCAACATGGCAACCTCAGCCCGCGGCAGCTCAAGGTCAGGCTAGCAGGAAAGCGCTGCGCGCATGCGCGCACTTGGAGAGCGGTGGCGCGCGCAGCCGCTGTGTCCCCTGCCGGCCGCCGTCGGCCCCAGTTCCGGTCGCGGTTCGGACATGGCGGCGCTCGGAAGGGTGTCCCGGGCGCTGCTCGGTGCCGCCGGCCCGCGCTCCCTGCCGGGGCGGAGCATGTCGGCTGCGGCCCATGAGGGCGGCGGAGGTAAGGGGGCTCTTCGGGGTGAGGGCGGTGCCGGGCCCATGGGCCCTTGTCCTTGATAGCCGCTGCCCTTGACGGCGCTGTCCTTCGCGGTAGGCGCTCGGTGGCTGTGCCCCGGGGGAGCTGTGGCGTGAGCCGTGAGCGCAGGATCCCCGTGCAGAACGGGAGGGAGCCCCACGCTCGAGTGAGGAATGAGAGCATTCGGTGTCTTCTCAGTCCCCTTGGCTGCGTTTAACGTGCGCCGGGTCACTAACACTAATGGAAACGTTTAGCTTGTCCTTCTAATTCCTGTTGTGCTCCCCACCAGCCCGCATGTGGAAGATGCTGACCTTCGTGGTGGCCCTGCCCGGTGTGGGTGTTTGCATGCTGAACTGCTACCTGAAAGCGCAGCACAAGCACGAGAGACCCGAGTTTATTCCCTACACTCACCTCCGGATCCGGACCAAGGTATGTTCCCCTGCTCTATTTAAAGGCCCTCCTTTCTCCTGTGATGGCAGAGCTACCGTAGTACCTGCAGCTTTCTTGTTTGCTACATGAGGTGCTGTGCACTTAGCCATGATCTTGACCTGTGGCTTTGTTTCTGAGGCAGCCAGTTCCTTACAGCTCAGGTGAAGCACCTGTGGTATTCACAAGCCTTCCCAGCCCAAGTAATCCTGCTAATGGCTTGCTGGAGAACATTACAGTCTTGGAGCAGCTGTGCTTACCCTAAACTAACGTGGATCTGAAAGGTAACAGAAGATCCCAAATTCTCAAAACTGGGGCCCTCCTGATATAGCACAGCTGATGGCAAAGATCCTTCCAGCACCTAAAGGGGCTGACAGGAAATGTGGAGAGGGGCTTTTTACAAGGGCATGCAGGTGTGAAACAAGGCGGAATGGCTTTAAGCTGACAGAGAAGAGATTTAGATTAGATTTTAGGGAGAAGCTCTTCCCTGTGAGGGTGCTGAGGTGCTGGCACAGGGTGTCCAGAGAAGCTGTGGCTGCCCCATCCCTGGCAGTGTTCAAGGCCAGGTTGGACACAGGGGCTTAGAGCAAGCTGCTCTGGTGGAAGGTGTCCCTGCCCATGGCAGGGGTTGGAAACCGGATGAGCTTTAGGGTCCCTTCCAACCCAAAACAATCTGTGATCTTGTTTAGAGAAAGCAGCTCCAGCTCAGGAGATGTTCTCCAACTCTTGCTCCTGCAGCCCAGGAACAGATACCAACTTGAACAATTCATCAGCCTGTGGAGCTGTGTGACGTCTGAGTCCGTGCTGCTGTTGGTTTCCTGTGCTTTACAGATCACTCAGCTGACACTGCCTTGTTTTCTTTCTTCATTCTACAGCCTTTCCCCTGGGGTGATGGGAAGAAAACTCTGTTCCACAACCCCCATGTTAATCCTCTCCCAACCGGTTATGAAGATTAAAACTAAGATCCTGACCACAGCCAGAACCTTGGCTGTTCCCATCTTGGAACAGAATGTTGTGCGGGAACCATCGTTTAAGAAACTCTGTATTCCTTCTGTGATGAAGCTGAATGGCGTGGTGGCCTCTGTCTGTGCTTGTGAAGAGATCCTTCAAATAAACAAGTCTGAACTTGAATTTAGCACCTGACCTTTTTGTTAATCTGAATCCTTAGACGTTCTTTAGTTCAGTGTTTGTTTAAAACATTGGGGATACAGTGCAGGAGCAAAGTTGCATAAATGTTCATAACTGCTCCTGTATTTGGTACACTGACAACAGGAACACACTCGGCCCAAGACACTACTTCCTCATGTCTGGTTTAACTGATCACTGTAAACTCAGAGCCAGATGAACAGCTATAAGGCTAATAATGTAGACTGAAATTCAGTACATACTAAAGCACATTCTCCACAATCAGCTATTGCAGTATTTATTAACATCATAAAGGCATTTTCTCGTAGCCCACTTTGGGAGGCTAAGACAAACCCTTCAGTTGCTGCAAGTGTTTCTGCAGTTCACAAACCAGCACAAGAAGCTTTTGTTTGCTTTCCTAGGCACAAAGGACACACAGCTCAAGAGCAGCTTCACGAGCAGGAGAGATCCCTCAGCAGCAGTTGGGGATCTTAACATAACCACCTGTCAAGTTTCAACCCACTGTTTCCCTTGTTCCACACACACTTTGCCCACCACAAGCAAAAGCCTAACGGTGACGGTGGCCAAGCCAGTGCTTTGTGGCAGTGTGGAAAAGGATGGCGAGGGCTGTGCTGCAGTTCTAATGCAGGAACATGTAATGCTAAAGGAGAGAGAATTCTAGTTTAGGATTGTTTCAGTACCTCAGAAAAGTCTGGAGAAGTATTAAAAGTGTCCTGTTCACATTCTGGCCTTCCTAGAGGTCACAATCAGAATGAAACATAACCTGGTTATATTTATTGGAGCTATGTTACTACAGGTCCAATAGAGTGCTTTCATACCACCTCTGTTGCTGATACAAAACCATGGTTTATCCCGTCAGCATTCAGGATCATATAAACCAAACTTCTTCCACCAAAATTCAGCAGCACAGGGAGGACACAAAGGAAATCCACCTCTTTCATATTACTTTTTAAAACACTTTCAAGTGTTATATAAATAAGCAAGAGAAATCAGTCACAAAGCAACTACTCCCTCAGCCCACTCTAAAAAGCATTCTCCCACTAGAGAGTACATTCACTGGGAAGTTAGTTCAAAGGGCTTTTGCACGCTGTTAGATGCTGAACCACCACCAAAAGTCACCGAAAAGGAGGCAGTTACCACATCATCCAGTCTTGGTTTGGTTTGTTTTTTTAACAAGCAGAGAAAGTGCCTGGCTTCTAGAAAGCAGCTTTAACAAAGGTCATATCCAGTTGGCGTCAAGCCATCTGCCTGGTGGTGTTCCTTAGGTCAAAGGTTCCTGTTGGTGACTCCATCCATGCAGCTGAGGTCAAGAGGAGTTTTCAGTTTTTCCTTTGCTTGCTCCCATGAACTCCAGGCCTTCAATGGGTATGTCCTTTTCCTTGATAGCTTTCTGAAATTAGAAAAAAAAAAAACAAAAATTAAACCTGATGCACCTTGATAGTGCTAATATAATCTCTGGTGGAAAAAAAAGATTCTATAGAAAGTAGTCTTAAGCTTGGTTTGAATAAAGCTTCAATAGTGGAGATGTTCAAGTAGGTACTGAGAGTCACAGACTGGTTTGGGTTGGAAAGGACCTTAAAGCTCATCCAGCTCCAACCCCTGCCACGGGCAGGGACACCTTCCACTGGAGCAGCTTGCTCCAAGCCCCTGTGTCCAACCTGGCCTTGAACACTGCCAGGGATGGGGCAGCCACAGCTTCTCTGGGCACCCTGTGCCAGCGCCTCAGCACCCTCACAGCGAACAACTTCTTCTTTACATCTAACCTGAACTTCCCTTGTTTCAGTTAAAACCCATCACGCCTTGTTCTTTCACTACAGTCCCTAATGAAGAGTCTCCGGCATCCTCCTTATGCCGCTGTGGCACTAAACGTAGCCCGGATACCGTCACACAAACAGCCTCGGAACCAGCAGGCTCCGGAAGTTTCATTAACGAGAAAAACCCAGTAACAGACACCCATGAACCACTGCGAGTCACGACCGACAGAACCGGAAGACAAGGGCACATCCCGAGCGCGCCGGCGGCGGCTTCTCCGGGGGTTACCGGGTGCGCGGCGGGCATCACCTGCACGCAGAGCTGGTAGCGCTTGAAGAGCTGGCCGCAGGGGTCGCCGGCGCTGTCGCCCTTGAGGAACTTGTCGGCGAACCAGCGGTTGAAGCACTGGTCGTACTCGCGCTTCAGCTCGGTGCACGCCTCCCCGACGCTGTTCATCGCGGCGGCGAGCCCCGGCACCGCACCGGGCCCGCCGCGCCGCTGCTCTGACACGCTTCCGGCGCGGTGCGGTGACGTTACCGGGCCGCCGTCGGGCGGGCGTTATGCGGGCGCTGGCGCTCAGCCGGTGGCTCCGCGGCGCTGTCCGGGCCCGGTCGGGCGGACCGGGGAGCGCCCGCCCCGCGCCGGGCTCCCCGCAGGTACGGCAGCTCGGGCGGGGGGAGCCGGAGGGGAGGGACGAGGGAGGCGGCCCCGGGCGGTTCCTGCGCCCCGCGCTGTTTGCCCTTCGTTCGGCAGAGAGAAGAACACGAGCTCGATTGATGTTCCAGGAAAGCAATCGGCGTGTCCCGGCGGCTGTAACCGGGGCTTGCCGTGGAACGAGAGCTCCACTAACGAAAGGGAAGTAGCGCTGTATCAGAGTCGGTTTTGTCTGTGTTTGTGCCGCAGAAGGTGACGGTGGACGTGCTGGATCGCTTGGAACACTTGGCCTTGGTGGATTTCCGTGACTCCGAGGGTGTGGAGCGGCTGCAGAAGGCGATCCAGTTTGCTGATCAGCTTCATGAAGTGAACACTGATGGCGTAGAACCGATGGATTCAGTGCTGGAGGACAGGTGATGAATCAGTCACAGCAGCCTCCCTGTACCAGTTACCGCATCAAACTGTCTGCTGTTGTAACCCCTTTGTTGTTTTCCCCCTGGGAATGGCTGTGGTTGTGCATTCGGCTCCTTTGCTTACGCACAAGTCTTACCCCGGTGGTGTGTGGAAGGCAGGTGTCATTGGCACCTTTGCTCTTTGTGTGTGAGCACAGAAACTCCCAGTTCCTTGGTGCATCTTACTCTGCATGAATGATTGGCACATACTGCTCCCAGATAGCTGTCAGTGGCACTCTTATGCTTCAGAATGTTCCAATACTTGTTTTACCGCTTGCTTAAGACCAAAACCAGGTTTAGAGATAGGCCATGCTTCCTACTTCATATAGAATAGCTAAAAGACAGTAATATTTGTTCTTCATAGAATCATAGAATAGTTAGGGTTGGAAAGGACCTTAAGATCATCCAGTTCCACCCCCCTGCCATGGGCAGGGACACCTCACACTAAACTATCTCACCCAAGGCTTCATCCAACCTCTTGAATACTGCCAGGGATGGAGCATTCACAACCTCCCTGGGCAACCCATTCCAGTGCCTCACCACCTTAACAGGGAAGAATTTCCTCCTTTCAGGTGTCTGTATCTCAGAGAAGATGATGTTACAGAGGGCAACTGCACAAAAGAGCTGCTGAAAAATGCCAGAGAGAAAGTACAAGAATATTTTGTAGCCCCACCAGGTATTGTCTTGCATATAAAAACCTCTTAATCTTGCTTGACTTAACCTGAGGAATGTAACCCACCATAGCTGCATTCACTTGCAGAAGCACTAGCTTGTAATAAGGAAGTGCTTAGAACAAACTGGAGATGCACTTTTGTGCCAAGTTGTACTACCCAGAGGTAACTTAACAGCTGATCTCACACCTTTCTTTCTGTTCTCTATCAGGTAACATCCCTTTGCCAAAACTGGAAGAACGAGAGAGTTATCTGCAGAGCTCTTAGCCCAGAGCCCAAATGCCATTCCAGTGTTTTATTTGCCACAGCCAAAATACTCTGGTGTGTATTCTGGTCAAAAGAAGAGCACTCGTAAGATGATTTACAGTAGAAGGTGGAACAAGTTGAATAATGCTGCTGTAATATTCAATGTTTATGAAGCTGGAAGGCAGCGTGACAGATGATCTCAGTGCTTTTATTTAGCAAAGTGAACTGGATGTTGCTCTTTAAGATAATGACTTAAAGGCTTTAAAAAGAACATTAAAAGGTAATTCTTAAAAACTCCCAGAACACTATTTTTCCTCAACAAGCTTGTTGGGAAACAAGAGAGATTGGAAAGCTCTTCTGCTTATTTCTCACCTTTAGCTTGACTCTGGCTCTGACCCTGTCAGAAGTAACAGAGCTCCAGGTATCTGAGGGGCCTGGAGGAGGAGTCTGTACCATTGCTGCATCTCTGACAGAGAGAGCTCAGATTTTCATTATGGAAGAAAAGGCACTTTGAGAAGATGATTCACTCAAATATTTTGCTTCTACCGAATTTTCATAGGACAGTCTCGGTTGGAAGAAACCTTAAAGCTCACCCAGTTCCAACCTGCTCCCACAGTCACCTTCTACTAGACCAGGTTGCTCAAAGCCCTGTCCAACCTGTCTTGCAATACTGCCAGGGATGGGGCATTTTGTATTTTTATTCTCTTAAATTAAGTGCCTGGAGTTGTACATAGTTTGAGAAAGCACTTTTCAGACACAGAACTGGCTGTTCTGAAAGAAAAAGTCTTTGCCACAACCATTTTTGTCCTCCGGATGTGTATCTGGCAATATTTTCTGGATTAATTCATTTTTCCATTTCAAACAAAGCACTGCAGTTATTTGTGTTATTTAAAACCCCTTGTGTGGCTAGGCTTGTTGTAAATAAAGAATGTAATTACTTATGAACTGGGCATTTTTGTTCTGTTGGCACAGGGAACTAAATGCACACTGACACCTTTATTACTTGTTGGAACAGGTTTTAGGTATAGAGATACTCTGGTACTCTTTAGTGTTCCAGGCAGACTCTGCTAACAGGAAGCTAGCAACAGCTTTAGTAGAAGCAGTGTGATGAGCAGATACTGCTCTGGAAACAGGTTCACCTTTGATCTGTTTGTAGCTCTACTCTACAAACTCACACAAGCATCACGTCAGCATCATTACATTTTACTGGCTGTAATTTGGTTGTAAGGGTGCTGAACTTTTTCCTTTAGATCTCAGAGTTGCAGAAACCACACCCCAGACTGTTAATGCTCTACAAGTAAAGTATCTTTGAGCAGGGAGCTCTAGATGGCTTTTCTTGCGGCTCAGTTTTAGTTTTGGCTTGGGAAGTTTCCATCTTGAGGGAAAAAATAGAATTTGTGCGGGGATATTTCTTTTTATTTGCAAGATAGTGCTGAAAAGTAACTGTTTTCAGCCTGTTACCCTCCAGTAACAGGTATATATTGATACCTCAAATTCTATAAGAAGACTGCTGGGGCATACACCTCAGCCATCAGCTCTTGGATGGGATGTTTGTCACAGAAAGCCAAGGCAAAGCAAAGAAATGGTAGCAAAGAAGTAGCACAGCTCCAAGAACAAAAGAAGCCCCCCCTGATTCTGCCTTTCTGCCTTAGGCCAGGAAACTATCACGGGAAGAGGTGCTGTGCAGGGCAAATGGTGAAGACTGCTCCAGCGAACAACATACGTTGTCATTGTCTTACCCTGGCAGAGAATGCTGAGGCTTCCTCACAGAACCTCCAACAGTCAGAGACAAGATCAGATAAGCCAAGGCTCACAGAGAAACAGACCTGCTGAAGGAATACCAGAGCAAACTAGAACCAAATAGTCCAGACCATTCACTTTCAGACCATAAATAGTACAGTAAAGAGCTGAAAACCAAACTTTTATTCCTGGCTGGTGCCCTGTCCTCATACAGATTTAAGAATCCATAATTATTTATTCCAGTTGTAACTCCACGCAGTAGAAGAGATCATGGCATGCTGAGCTAGGAAAGTGCTAGAAAAGACCCCTGGTGCTGTTGTAATAGGTTACCAGTTGTGAGTCTGCTCTTACGGCTCTCAAGAGCTTGACAGAAGGAAAGTAGGCTCCTCCATGCCTATGTAGGCACATGCTTTCCCTCAAGGCAGAAACTCACCTCATGAGATCATAATTTGATGTCAGCCATTTTATACAGTGCATGTTCTGTATTTCTCTACAGAGAAAAGTCATTACTCCTATTAAGTCTTTCTGTACAGCTGTGTAATAAACACCACCAGCTTGGTGCATGTGTCCCTTCCCTGTGCATGGCCATAACTGTTTCTCCTATGAACTGCATCTCCCACGTCCCTGCAAACAACAGGTAGTGTAAATCAGAAATTAATGACACACATGTTGTTTTCTTAACATCTCAAGCATATTAGAAAGTATATTAAAGTAGTAAGGAGTTTGAACAGTACTGGTGTTCAGCCATTAGAGGCTTGCTCTCAACAGCAGGTGTACAGACTGCTTTGACAATGGCCTCTTGGGCCATTCATCATGTGCCATGTGTTAAATGGAAAGCCTAGGCTGAGTGAAAAGCACTACAGCTAGCTTTGCTGGTGTAAGGAATCACAGCTACTGAGTAGGAGCCACTTTCACTCACTGCTCTCAAAGGCTGCATGTTTGGTAAGCTTTGAACTTTGATTTATATTTCTTTTCATGTTTCTCAGGCAAGAAGTAAGAACAATCACTTGTCCTTCTCTTACTTGTGCAGTTACTTATTTATTTAAGCTTCTATTACACACACACATATATGCATAAACATGTAATTATTATGATACTTGAATTCTTTTAAGAGTGTTGAATCAAAGTCTGTTTAACCCCATTAATCCAACTCTTTGCAAAGCTATAACACTGTATTAGTTCTTTAGTCTCAGGCTTTTCAAGATTCAGACCCTGCAGATGATGGAGTTTTATAAATATACAAGCTCAGCTGAAAAGTAATTTATGACTTTTATAAACCATGACAAGGAAAGATCTCAAATCATACCATACAACGAGAATGTTAGTAGAGAATTCCCAGCTTGAGAAATGCCTACTTGTTCTATTTGTTTTGACCTCCTCCTCTAACTACCCTAGAGAGTGGGGACAGTGTTACATACATAGAAAAAGGAAAAGAAATTTGAGAGACAACTGCATGGCTGCAGGAGCTTCCAACCCAATATACGTAGCTATGTTAAAGCAACAACCAAACCAACCATTTGGGCAAAGATGATTCCACATTCCCAGTGCAGCACAGGCTAAGCTTAAAACTGCCAGGTCACTGCTGCTTTCTTACCCCCTCTCTCCAGTGAGAGAACAAACTGCCTGATGCCTGTTCCCTGCAGCGCAAAGTGCACATTAAGTGGAAAACACATTTCCTTAATGAAGGGGTTTGTTTCAGCTTCACCACTAATACAGGAATTACAGCCCTGACAGAGACACCTGCAACCACCAGAGCAGGAACCCTCGCAGAGGCCAGATGAGCTCCCTGTGGGGCAGAATGTGTTAGTGCCTCAGCCTGCCCCCGGCCTCCCTGGTGCTGTTCCCCACAGCACGGTGCAAAGCCCCACTGGGCCCCAGCTGCACCCTGAGGTGGGGATGAGGTGCTGGTTCATCTGCTTTCACTGCAGGGCCTCGATGAGCAAGTGGGTCTGGATCTGGGTCAGGTCTTTACAGTATTCTGCCACAGTGCAATTTATAAACCCTGGCAAGTGAATAAATATAGTTAAGGACTCGTAATAAAATTGCTACCTGTAAATTCCTGGTAACTGCAGTGGGGCAAACATAATGTGTATTTGCAAAATAACTCATCCTTTTCAATGGTCAATAGATACAGCAAACAGAAGATAAAAAAAGGAGGCCAGATTCTGAGATGATGCAAATGTGTCTTGTTTCCCTGGAGACCATGGAGATCACTTGACTTATACCTGCTAAGGATTTTCCACTACTATGAAGATCTGTAACACATCAAATTGGATTAGAAGCCTTAGCATACGTACTCCAGGATTACTAAGAACATTTCAAGGTGATTTCTTCAGTTTTATGAAAAAAGAAGAAGTTAGTTTGTTGCTAATAATTATTATCTTATGAGAGTAATGAGGAGCCACAAGAAAAATCTCTATTAGATGCAGTAATACAGTATGTGACACAGCAAAAAAAGGCCTCAACTGAAAAGTGCTTACAGTCTAACCTCCATCTGCAAGAGGAACCTCATGATAGGCCTTATCCATTATCCAGTTTTCTTTGGCACCTTCTCTCCTCCATATACCGTCCCCAAGTGTGTTTGTTCTGCCTTCTCCTGCAGCTCTGTCCTGCTGGAAACTATACTTTTATATCCCTGATCAACAAGGAAGGCTCGAAGGTTTCTCTTTAATGTTTCTCATTAGCAACAAGTATCTGACCCACACTGACATTTCTTGCAGTCCTCATCACATCTGTTCCTTCAGCCAACCATTTCTTAATAAATGTGTAGAAATTTGCCTGCAGTTACCGAACCCCTCCCTTCATTTCATAACTTTCAGAGCAGTCGCTAGCACACCCTCCCAATGGCAAAGATGGAAAGCAAAGCTGGGAACTGCATCTCTTCCATCTGGAATGCTAAATCCTGGGAGCTAAAGTCAGGAATCATTTCTGAGATACTCTAGAGTGACAAAAGTATTACATTATCCAGTTCCAGTATTCTGGTGGCAGTATATTCCTCTGAGGTTGCCTCAGAGATTTCAAAAGCAAAAGCTTGTTTGCAATTATGCTGCTTTTCCTATGAATGCCACTGAGCAGGTACTTATCATATAATAACATGAAAAATATTTGCATTTCAAGTGAGATAGATGACTGCTCTTGAGGTTTTATTTCTATAAGCAAATGGCAGGCCCACCAACCAGTGCCTGACAAACCTCTCCTAAATCATCCTGTGCTGTTTGTTATTGAAACAGTGCAGTCCTGTTATTAACAGATCACCAGCTATGGAAGACTCAACAGCAATTTTCTATCTATCTGCTGACAAGAGCAGAAGCAGAAAGTGC